AGGTGTGAGCCACTGGTACCTATCTGTTTCCACTTATGATTTTATGATTTTCTTGTACCTTGGACTTTTGTATTAAGGTACCTCAAAACATAAATATATGCAACAAATATACAAACAAAATTCCTTTAAGTTAAACTCTATTTCTAATCTGTGTCAGGTTTTTAGTGCATCTCCTACCAATACCCAATCATAGGCAGTCATCTTTATAATGTAGAAATAATTTAGAGCCAGGTATGTGACACACCCCTGTAATCTCAACATTGAGCAGGCTGGGGCATGAGAATCACAAGTTTGAGGCCAGGCTGAACTTCATAGTAAGTTCCAAGCTAACCTAGGGTACCTAAGGAGACCTTGCCTCAAAACACCGAAAGAAAAATATATAAATAATTTGTCTATAGAGGGTCCACCAGATGTTGAAATGAGCAACGAAATGTGAAAATCATTTTGTGACATTCAAGGTCCAGCAAGACCTCCTTACCTTCTTTTAGCTATAATTGCATTTTGTCCTGTATAATTGAAAAGAAGATTGTGAAAAGCAACACAAATAGTCCAGGGCTTAAGAAGTACTAAATACAGTGCTTGTCAGCTAGACACACATGTCAATCAATGCACAGAATCATGTCAATGCATGGGTTGCATAGGACTGGCCCACAGCTTAAATACATTTCCACAACCACAGTCCAACACGTCAGCAGTGCCATACATTCTTAGCGGTTCTAGAATTCTAAGTCCTAGCCGGGCACCAGTGGCTCACACCTATAATCCTAGCTACTCAGGAAGCTGAAATCTGAGGATTGCAGTTCAAAGCCAGCCCTGGCAGGAAAGTCTGTGAAATGCTTATCTCCAATAAACCACCAGAAAACTGGAAGTGGCGCTGTAGCTCAAGTGGTAGAGTGCTAGCCTTGAGCTGAAGAGCTGAGGGACAGCGCTCAGGTCCAGAGTTCAAGCCCCACAACCAAAAAAAAAAAAAAGCTAAATCCTGAGACAAGTTTGTAATATGAGGCAAATTCAAGTCACAGGATCACAGAATCATAGAATCCTGGCTGACCTAGAATATCCTTTAGTCCAGTGTCCCTGATTTTAGATAGGATAATTTAGCCACAGAAGAAAAAGTGACCTGAAACAAAATGACTCTTTCACCTACTAAATAAGACTGAACAACTACCATAGTGTCTCTGTGGCACATTGTCTTCATCTGCAAATAAGAAATAAAATTTAGGCTAAGTGTGATAATAATTAATTTAGAATATAAAAACAGGCCAAACTGGGCAAAAGATAGGGGGACCCTATCTCAAAAGCAATCCAACCAGGGTTAGTGCAGACCTGTGGCCCTAGTACTTGGGAAGCAGAGGTAGGAGGATCATGATCGGAGGGCAGTGTTTGGGCAAAGTTAGCAGGAGAAAAACGAATAGTAAAAAGACAAGGGATATAGCTCACAGTGCTTGCTAGGCAAGTATAGGCTTGATTTCGTACCACACACAAAAAACTATGTAATAATGGTTGCTATGAGAATTAATTAAAATAGGATATATGTGAAATGTTCAGCCCAGTGCTTTGCTATGGCAAGTTATTAGTAATGATGGAGAGAGCTGAGGTGGTGAATGTCACTGCTGCTGCCCAGAATAACAGAGCTAGTCCACAGGCTCTTAGCTCTGCTGCTTAGCCCCTTGTTCTTTCTATTATATTGCCTTGGGGGTCTATTTAGACAGGTTGGAGAGTTTGTTTGCTTGCTTTGAGACAAGGTCTCACTCTGTAGCTCAGGCTGGTCTTAAAGTTGTAATCCTCCTCCCTTCGCCTCTGCAGTGCAGGGATTACAGGCAGGTATCTCGTAGAACCTGGGCGCCAGTGACTCATGCCTGTAATCCTAGCTATTCAAAAGGCTGAGTTCCGAGCATAGTGATTTGATGCCAGCCTGGGCAGAAAAATCCTAGACACTCTTATCTCTAGTTAACCAGCCAATCGTCAGAAGTAGGGGTATGACTTAAGTGGGAGAGTACCGGCTATGAGCAAAAAAACAGCAACCAGGCACCAGTGATCACAGCTGTAATCCTAGCTACTCAAGAGTCTGAGGTCTAAGGATTTCAGTTCAAAATCATCCCAGGCGGAAAAGTCATTGAGACTCTTTATCTATAGATTAACCAACAAAAAGCCTCAAGTGAAGGTGTGGCTCCAGTGCTAGAGCACCAGCTTTCAGCAGAAAAAAACTAAGTGACAGTGCCCAGGCCCTAAGTACAAGCTCCAGTACTGGCACCAAAGAAAATAAATAAAGGAGCAAGTTAAGAGTCTGGAGAGCAGTATAGCAGATGGTCACTCAAGAGAAATTATTTAAATTTTAGGTAAAGAGCTTCAGGAAAGGACTGGGAAAGTGGCTCAGTGGTAGAGTGCTTGCCTTGCATGCCTGAGGCCCCGGGTTCCATTCCTCAGTACCACATAAGCAAAAAAGAAAAAAGCCGGAAGTGGTGCTGTGGCTCAAATGGTAGAGCGCTAGCCTTGACCTGAAGAGCTGAGGGACAACGCCCAGGCCCCACAACCGGACCCAAAAAAAAAAAAAAGAGCTTCAGGAAAATGGACAGAAGATTGCTCCCCCCCCCAAACAACAACAACAGATTATGTTACCCACTCTCTTCCCAAAGCTTTCCAAATGGTCATTCCTCAGGAGGGGCATAATCAGTCCAAACCAGACCACTTTTAGCAAAGCTTTGCAACTCTGACCACAGGCCATGAGGAAGCAGGAGTGTCTGTCTGTCTGTCTAGGGGACTCCCTGCATTGCTGAAGTGGTTAAACAGTGTAATGGGAGGTGCATCCCACTATTAGAGTCTTGTGCTCATGGCCTTGAAAGGTCATGTGACATTGTAGATCATGTCAATTGGCATAGACCCAGATACCTCCTCAATTTTAAGGTTTTAGGAGTAAAACGCTTTGTTAGGTATCATTAATTTGGTCACTGTGAGCATGTGATTAAGATACTAGGTAAGATTCTTTTTCCTCTAAAAAAAAACAATAGATTATCAACAAATTCTGTAAAGTAAGCATCTGCTCATTTTCTTCAGACATACATTCTTTGCAGTCATTCTGTGGATTGAATTTTTTGTTTCTCTTGTTAGGTTAGTCAATAAAATTGTTTTTAATCAGTAGCTTTCTATAAAAATTAGCACACTTGGGGCTGGGAAGGTGGCTCAGTGGTAGAG